AAACGCACAAGCCTCACACGCAGGTACAGCGTTCTGCACCCCTCAGTTCTGAACCTGCCGACAAGATGAAAGACGTCATGTGCAGTTTATCGTTCACGCCTCCCAACATATTAGTTTATAATACCATCTCATGTCTTGCAAGCGCAATACGCTGATCGAACCTGCGCGAGAAGCAACCATTCAATCGTAGGCACCTGGCATGAGGTCTTTGCGCATGGTACTATAAAATGGTATGCGCGCAACAAAACGCAAATTGCTCACACACACGCATATACACTGCGTGCTTTTCAGCGCGCCCCAAGCGCTTCAAGAATCATAGCATGGCCACGCATGCGACACCGCGGATTGAGGCATCAAGAAGATGCATCGATGCCTATGTGGATCCTCCCTTGAGGCCAGCTGTGGAAACAACACGCACGTTCAGTTGATTGAAAGCAAACACTTTGCAACAACCTCCAAAAAAACATAAGATTGAATAGCAGTTTCCCATATGGTGAACGGCTCACAGGTTGGCTGATCCACCCCCACTCAAGACAGGTCAAATGATCTGTACTATAAACACAAATCTAGTTCACATCTTCAGGCTCAGGACGTGCTGTCCGGGGCATGTATTTAGGATTCCGACACTGCTTACAGCCGATTGAAGAGTTCCACCGGCACTTTGAACACCCAAGCGGACGCGCAGAACCACTCGCTCCGTTCGCTGCGAAGATGTCATCGTCGTCGTCATTCGGGTGGGGCTCCTTTCCTTTTGCCTTCTTGGGTGCCTTCTTGGGTGCCTTCTTGGGTGCCTTTGGGGGTTCTTCCTCTTCTTCTTCCTCTTCTTCTTTCTCTTCTTCTTCCTCTTCTTGATACTCTGGAGCCTTCTTCTTCTTGCTGGATTTGGGCTTGCTTTTGCAGGCTGGTTTTGCTTTCGCCTTTGATGAGGCCTTTGGTTGTGCTTTTGCCTTGGCTTTGGGGCTCTTATTCTGCTTCTTCTTCTTTGGTTTCAGCGAATCCTTCAGCTTCCGCTGCATCTCTGGGTCAACCTCGGGCTCCTTCTCATCCTTAAGCTGGGGCGTCTTGCCTTTCAGGGCCTTGTCTGATGACTTTCCGCGGATCCTCTTGGCTGGTGGATCTGGCTCCTTGCGGGCAACCTCTACAGCCTTGGGCTCCTTGACCTTTGCTGGCTTCTTGGGTTGAGGTTCCTTGGGTTTTGAATCCTTGGCTTGAGCTGCAGGTTCCTTGGGCTTTGGATCCTTGGGCTTTGGATCCATGGGTTGAGCTTCCTTGGGTTTTTGCTGCTTGGGTTGAGGTTCCTTGGGTTTGGGCTCCTTGGGGTTTGCAGGCTCATTGAAAACATGGACCTTGTTGGTCTTTGCTGGCGGGTTGTTGGTCTCTTTGAGGGGATCTGCAGACTTGGCCTGAAGGGTGTGAACATATAATTTTTGAGATACGAGAAACACATTGGACACGCAACCCATCCATATAAGACTTGACATTTAGACAGGTCGAACATCATTTTGTACAACAAACGCTGCATTTAATGTGTCTCTTTATCTTTCAATTTCGCTGTCAACTCTTCTAGTCTCTCTTTCTCTTTCTCCTCTCTCACTCTCTCTCTCTCTTTCTATTTTTTGCAAGGCCTTGGCAATAATCGCAGCACTCAAATGCCTTCCCGCAAAATAGCCCCGCGAACGCGAAGAGGGTGGAACAATTGGAGAGTCGGGAATCACCACGGATGCAGCATCGTAGAGCTGGGTGTCCTGATGTTTTTTCTAAAGCCCAAAGCATGCACGAAGTCTCATATATACATATATATATATATATTTTTTGTCTTGAGTCTTGCATCGCAGACCGGTTTAATCAATGTGTCAAAAGCTGCCTCCTCCTCACCGGCTGGAGGTGGTGGCTTCGCAGCGGACTTCGCTGACGGTCGTGGTGGTGGAAAACCAGCTGCCGAACCTGTCGGGAAGATGGCCCGGGACGTGCGATCGATCGGAACGCCCCCCCCCCAAATATATATATACATATATCTGAGATTAATTGTACCCCTCACGATATGCACAATACATCACAATACTTATAGCAAAACTGTTGAAAATAGTTCAGAAACGCTTGGACATCTTCTCAGAAAGCTGCGCTTGCAGTTTGATAAGCTGCATTCGTAGAGCGTCAATGTTCTTCGAGGGTTTGGGGACATCCTTGAAAGCTACGATCTCAACATCGCTCTTCTGCCCTGGAGTGTCCTCTCGAGCACTGGCGGCCTGCGCAAACATATAATGTTTCAGGTTGTAGGGGACTGAAGAAACTATAGTACAAAAATCCAGCAAGTTGCATTTATCAAAACGATCATTTGCACGAACACCCCAAGCCTTGTCATGCATACCACAGCCTTCATGCGCAGGCTCACCACCCTAGGCAGAAACCCAAAGACAAGGATTACTATATCTTTTTTTGGGCAAGGTATATAATCGCCTCTTCATGCTCTTCCTCTTCATGCTCTTCTCCAGATGCATCGCCAATCTCAGCGTCATCCTGCCAGATCATTCCCCAGTTGGAGTTTAGTTGGAAACAGGACGCGTTAATTTATCTGTGTATGGAGTTTTCCGGAGTTTTCCCTATGAACAACTTTGTTCTCACAAGACTTCACGTTATATGGGTTGAACAACATCGATCGATGCAGTCCTGTTGGTGCAATGGCGCACACTTGACATAGGCTCGCCCAAACCCAGAACGTTCCCGTACATGTTCAATCTTTTCAAAAAGCTTGCGGACGCCGTCAACCTGAGAGGCTTGAATTTATCATGTCTGCATATATGTATATATACGTGTTTATATTCTCGAAACAACAGTCAAATCAGCTTAGGAGCTCGTGGTGTCTGACGTCGTTTTTTGCAATCAGCTTGACGTCGTTTCGCAAACCCAAACAGCCGCTTGATGCTCCACGCATCTCGATAGCTTTGTTTGGGCTTCATTGTGTAGCCAGCCAGGTCGAACATCATCTCAACCTGCCCCAAAACGTGGGGCTCTAATAGAGAAACTTGCCCCAAAAAAAAACATCACAATAGAACGTGTTAGGTTTTGCATGGTTGATAAGTTGTTCCCCGCCTCTCGTTGAATCTTCGGAACAGTAGGCTTCGGCTTCCATCCCCATTCATCAAACATTTCATACAAGATCTCTGTGTTGGAAGCGAGAAACTCGGAGTTCAGCGGCGGCCCTTCATCACCTTCATCACCTTCATCCTCACTAGCGATTTGCCTCGAAACCGAGGGTTCCCTAATCCAATCACCACCATTTCTCAACCTCTTTCGAACTACCAAGCGGCCCTCCCATCGTCGAGCCAACGACATATCCAGCACTTTTCGGCTGAGTTTGAGCCGTGAATCTCAAGAGTAAGTGATTAGCGCTGAAGATCTGCACAACCCGATCTGTTGTTTCAAAAAGACAGGGATGCACCACAAACCATGCTGGCAGCACCTCTCCAGAAGCTCGCGCCGGCGCCATTCCCACACCCGCGCAGCGCGAGAAAACCGCGAACAAAAGTTAGACCGCACAAAAAAAAACATTTGTTTTGTTGCAAATACGCCAGTGCAAAGAAAATTGTAGAGCTCAATATACATCCGCAATCATTCGCGTGCACATACTTGTCGTTGTTCTTCGGTTTGTTCAGCCCAATGTGCATTTTAAAAAGAGCTCTTAGCTCTTGAGCGTGGTTTATGAATAACGACGAGGCTGCAACACATAACCCAGCAGGGTTGCGTTGAAAAAAAACTGCTCACTCTCGGAACGATCGTGTTTTGCCAGAGAATGGTTCTGACAGCCGCTTTGATTCAAAACCACACTAGACTTAGGATCTGATCAACCAACCCCCTGCATGTGTAAACGGCCGGTGTAAAACAACGATCGATTTTGGGAGTCATCGTTTCGCATCCGTCCACCGATGTGTTTGGTCCTGTTTGAAGAAAGATGAAGAAAGCAACTGGCACACATGCATGTGCAAACATTAAAACCAGACTCCAACAAGTTTCACCTTAGGACATATATGAAGGTTTTTTTTGGTACATATCTATAGTTTTTTACGTTATACATGTATATATATATATATATGTGCCGATAATACACTTTCAAAAACACCTATAGGTGTTTTTGTTTTTTTCTTGGCTCAAGAATCCCAATCACCAATCAAAACAAGAGACTGGCTGGTTCAAAGCCGACCAGTAAAGCCACTAAGCTCGACTATATCAAGCCAAAAGCTTCTTAAGAGTATCAGTGATACTTTTGCCTCTAAATATGCCACTGCATCCTTAAAGCGCCACTTGTCACTCCGATGCTTTTTTTTGACACTTTAAGTTCGCAGGTAACCAATTCGACCCCTCAATGTGTTGCAAGAGGACTTCATTGAACTAACTACACACTTGAAACTTCTTGGTCATACCCTGTCAGTGCAGAGTTCTGTGAACCGTGTTTTGGGGATTCAGCCACGGATGGTAGAACAGGTGGGTTTCGTCTCGGTGAACCATGAGAACCTGGGGGAAGCTAAAGGCGTCCTGCTGCCATTTGGTGGGGTTTCTGAGTGTTTGAGACCCAACTGTACCCACCAGGCTGAAGAACCTCGTGTGGACCAGACAGATTCATTCCGTTTCTTGGGGGTTTGGAGCCCTGTTTGCCCGTGGCGGCGCGGCCCCCGAACATCCGTGCCGGCGCGGTCCGCGGGACGTACCGTACTAGCCCTAGCCATCTTACAATCGAAAGGTACCTGGATCAGATCGGAACCTTTTCTTTATGCTCTTTGGAACAGCAGGTTGATGAGGTCCCATTCTTGATGCGGTCGCATCGCAAAGAGGGCGACAAAAAACTGACTTGCTAACATGGAAGTGGATGGCACCCACCTGTTTGGTATTCGGAACATAGTCATCCCAGTGGCCAATGCCATCCATTCCATGTGAACCTCGGAGATGTTCGGAGTGTAAAAAAGCTAGCTGTGAAGCTCGTTGATCGCTCCCTTCCTGAAGATCAGGAGCGCATCATCCAGGGTGTGGGGCGCTGCGTCCAGGGCGCTACGGGGCTGCTGATGCAGATCTCCCCTGCGCTGGGCCCCGCCAGCCCCTTTGTCTATGGCATCAGCTTAGCTTTCAACGTGGCAGCCGGCGTGATGATGAGCATTACGGCGAGTCCGGGCAATAGCAGTGCCAGTCAAAGCGTCAGCCAAGCGAGTGGCTTCCAATATGATTTGAGCGGTTTAGAGACGAAGATCAAGCAGAACTTCCAGCAGATGGGCTGGGAATTCCAGCTCACTCTCTTGAGTCTGAAGCGCCTTGGAACCCGACCCTAGTGAGGTTCTTCTTGGCCCCTTTGCCCTCAAAGAGGTGGAAGATGGACGAAGAGAGCCCCTGAAGCCCACATTACTCCAGACGACCATCATCACCAATCAAATTTCCTCTTATTGGAAAATGAGTTCCTGCAACCAAATGCAGTTTCATGTTGTTGGATATTTTTTTTTTGTGCTGTTTCAGGAAGGTCGAAGATGAGATGGAGGACATGGTGAGGCACCTGACGCATCAGCTTCAGGAGATCTCCGTGGAACTCGAAAGCCTTCACAAGCAGCTGACTCGTGATTAGCAAGGAATGAGGGTGGTTGGATCCTAAGGTGTCCTAATGAGGGAAGGGGTCATTCCCATATTATGATCTCTGATTCTCTCATTCTCACCAGTCAGGCAGCTGGTGTCCATGCAAGTGGAGCCCAGTCTTTCCACTATGAACATCGTGATGACCATGCACCAGGACTATCTGAGAGCTTTGACAGGCGAAGAGGACATGGTGCCTTGGACGTTCCCCAACAACTCCGCGAGATGGGTGAGGTGAGGTGAGTGAGTTTTTGGAGCCGCTTCGCGAGCTGCGCGAGCTTCGCGATGGTCGATGGTCTTGTCCGGTTGGTCCTGGTTTTGACCTTCAGACGCAGACGTACAGAGGAAATCCGGCCTGAAAGCCTGGTAGAAGTGGAGACTCTATAGAAGTCTTGGTGGATTTCCATGTCAATGTAGAAAAGTGCGAAGCCCGCGGATGTGGAACGACTTTCCTAGGTGGCGGTCCTGGAGCCTTACATCCCGCAGCTCATCGAACATGAGCTGACCCTTCGCGCCAGCCTCGTGAGCACTCTGGAGCGTCTCGTGGACTGTGGCGCCTGCGGCGGCGCGGCCGCCGGCAGTTTGTGGTTCGCCCGGTTTCTGCAAGCGCGCTACCAGGTGTGGACCATGCTGTGCCTCGGCGGGGGTTGCCTGGCAGGTGAGCTGGTTCGATTGGAAAGGAAGGAACACACGGAAGTGGGGAGTGATCTAGTTTAAGAGATGTTAGATTCTGTTACCAGCACCTTCCAACAGGTCTCCGAAATGGAGGGTTGGGAAGGCCCTGTCGCAGGTTTCAATTGGTGACCTGTGAAGTCGGGTGCTGGTAGATGATCTGTTTGTGCCTGAAACCATCAAGTGGCTGATTTTCTGGTCTTGGTCGCTGAGAGACTCTGGGGTAGAGTGACGGAGACACACTGACGAACCGCTATTTAACATGAAATACATGTATTGTTCACAGCGGAAATGGTTCCGAGTGCATCCACATAGAACCAAAACACTCCACACTTAAAAGCAAATCGCTGAGAGTACTTAGAACCAAAGGGAGGCATAGTTAGAACCGAGCGCAGTGATATTTGCGGCAGATCGAACCCAAGTTTACCTGTTGTTGTTTTGTTTTTTTCCGTTGGTTCTAAGAGCCAAACTTGGCCTCTTCGTTCTAAGTAAGCGGTCCAGTTCCTTTGGGAAGAATGAGACAAAATTATCGTGAGTAAATAATCACTATAGTCGTTTCTAAGTCTGTGTCCCTCACTATCAAACTCAATCCAGCACATCCTGCTGGTCTCCCAGGTGGCACTACCGGCAAGTGACCAACAACCTGGATCAGGTGCAGGTGATGATCGACCACCTACGTAAAGACCAAGAGCTGCTCTGGCCGCAGTTGTTGCAGCGCCTGGGCTTAGCCGCGTGGATGCGCCTCAGTGGAAGCCAATTGGCCAAGTACTTCATCTCTTCAGCATCCTACATGCAGGTGACTTGGCTCAAGTTCTGGAACCCAAAGACACGAGTTAAAAATCATCAACACAATACTTTCATGGATGGATGCATGTTATAGGTGTCTTCCTGATTTGTGACATCCTCTTCCCATCCACTCGCTCCACACCTTATCAGACCATGTCGATTGACCAAGTTCTGCAGATGCTTAGGCGTTACAATGACAATTGGACTAACAGGGTGCCAACGAGTGCATCATCCCTGCAAATCAACTTCTTCCACTGAAACCGATCTAAGGCATCTTTCATCAAACACACTTGATTGCCTAGAGTTGGGCCACACAACTCCGGCCAGAAATCAACACTTCTTCAATATTAAAGATCTCTATTTTATTACTATATTAAATCCTCTTAAATCCTCTTCAAATACCAGAGCGCCTCCGTCTCATCCTTCATCTCCGCGAATTCAGAACAGGTAGAACAGATCATCGACGACCTCGGCTCCACCTCTTGGCCCCAGCGCCTCTCCGCTGCCCAACACCTCGCGGAGCGCATCGAAGCCTCCGGCAGCGGTGGCAGCGGTGCCGCGGCCGCGGTGCCGGCGCTGCGCGGGTTGCTGGCGCCGCCGGAGAGTGCTTGGAAGTCCCAGAACCACGCGAGGAACGACTTCTTCGGAGTGAATGAGCAGCAACTTGGGAGGAAGAGGAGATGAGGGACAGGTTGAAGAGGTTGACAAAAATTGATGGCTGGGGTTGTTGGGTTGTTGCCTTGCTTGAATCTTGTTCCCTTCACCCCCCGCTTCATCCAAACCACCTGGCAAAAAGGTCGCGCTGGTCGCTCGCCTCTCAGGCAGTCTGCCTGCCGACAAGCTGCCGAAGTCTTGGAGCAGCTGGGCTACCCCGCCGCCTGGGCCGCGACGGTGGACCTGGAACGTTTGAAGCATCGCACCTGGTCGAAGACCCGCTCCGATGCCTCCACATTGACGCTGCTCTCGCCCTGCGCCAAGGCCAGTAGGAAGACACTACAGACGTTGAAGCAACAGGAGCAGCAGACCAGGCTTTGACCTCGTTTTTCGTGTGGAAGGCAGTCTGAGGTGGCAGGAGTCATCAATCGGAGCTTTGTGGTGTCAATTCTCACCAAGATCAGATCGCAGTTCAGTCTGTGCCGGCCGTGGTGGCCGTTGCTGGCGTCGCGTCAACACGTTTTGGTGCAAAAAAGAGCCGGACCAGGAGGCTGCAGGCATGCTGGGGGTTAGAGGTGGCTGGGCATGAGATTTTGGCTAGCGAGCATGGCCTGGAATGCCTGGGAGAGGTTCTTTCGTTTCCCCATGCTGATGTTAAAGGACACATCGCCCAGCGGCAAGCATTCAACATCATTCAACTGTTTGGAGTTTGGATATTTACACCGTCCCGCTCTCCCTGCATGGTTTTGATCAACCCTGAGGGGTGATTGATTCAACATGATTCAGGAGCCCTTGAGCCAGGCCATGCCAAGGTCGATCTTTGTCCCAGGTCCCTTCGTTTTGGTGTTCACACCACTGGTTTGCCCAGCATGTTTCCATCGCGCATCCGCGCTTCGCGGATGTCATCGTGCTTCCGTGCGTCGTTGACGTGCGTCGGCCAGGATAAGATGAAGTCTGGTACCTGGGACTTGATGTCCGGCGTCTGAGCGAATGATAGGAGAATGACTCGGAGAATGATGGAGAGACTTGATGGGACCAGAAAGGGCACGAAAGGGGTTGCTGGGCCAGAAGAAAGAAGAGAAAGAGCGTGGTAGTGAGAACACTCCGAAGCAACTTGTAGGCTCTGAAGATCTGTTCTTGACGCCAACAGAAATCAATCTCAACGAGCTGAGAGGGATGAGAAGAGCAATAGCTGATGGCTACATTCCCCTCAAATGAGGGGCAAACAAAGGAACAACTGAAGGGATTTGAGTGGCCAGAAAGAATCTTAGCATCCATATGGTCCAAATGAATCCACTTGACCCCTCTTGTGATATAGGCCGTTTGTTCTCCAAAATAAGAATCAACCTGCTTCGTTCGGTATACAAAACGGCATCAACCTGAAGCTCCATGTCCGACGCGTAGGACTGGACGTCAGGAGCAACTCACTGGGCGGATTGGACTCCCGACCTCTCAGGGCGAAGTCATCACTCCCCAGAGCGCTCGAGCTCGACATGGGAGACCGAGCTCGAGGCAGCGACTCAAAACACCATGGGGCCCGGGGTGATTTTCCAGCGTGGTTTGACTTGCCAAGCATCCAGAATCCAGAGAGCGGCGACACCAAATCAGCTTGCCAATGGATGTTTATTCAATTTGGTCCCAATCGAGCTATTACATCCACATTCGGATGCAATACTCATGATGCAATGACTCCAGCACATTTGCATGAAGTCTTATCAAGTTTGGACTCGACTGTTTTCGCTGTTTTTGTTAATGATTGCACCAAGTACCAAAAATAGAATCACCTATAGATCCCGTCCAAAACCTTTCACGAAGGACACCGGCCCCTGAAAAAGCTCCCATTCTTCGAGCGAGATCCTCGCCGGATCCAATCCCGAGAACGAGAAGCAGATCTGGTGTAGTTGGCGATGGATCAAAAGCGGCACCCGTGGGATGTTCGTTGATGTTCGGTGTGGGTCAAACGCAGTCTGATGACGTTTGCTTTCGGTAAAGCCTAATGACGTGGTCCCCCAAATAGAGAGCAAAGCGGTTTCCAATACATGATTAGTGGGGAATACTGTAGTGGGGATCTACTTTTCTATCTATTTGGGGGTCTATTATAAATACCGTGACCATGATCATCCACTGGTTCTAGCTGGTTTGATGTGCACGTCCGACGCCCTTCTTCAATTTGCTTTTTGGTCCATCTTGGGGTTGCACCTCCGAAACCCTCAGACCCGTGACTGACTCCCTCTCTTCACCAAGATAGGCTTGATCGGAGTTCCTTGCAGTGCATTCAACCACAAGTTCGAACCCTTGCAAAGAACGAAAACCATAGAAGGCATTAAAGGGGGGCACCTGATTCCTCACCTGGGAGACTACTCTCTAACCACTGAAGCTTGAGTTGATGTTTCCTGTTCGTTGGGGGGGAGTCTCCCTAGTTCAATACGTACGCACCGAGGATATCGTACAGTTTCCGGATGTTTGTGCATGAAGATCTTGGACCGATGACCACGTTTGGAAGTGGTGACTGTTGTTCATCTTTTCTACAGTCTCTTTTTCTTGCCATGAATGTATGAGTTGGGAGTGTCCTACTACCTGTAACCGTCGGTAAACAAGATCATCACTATTTTAGAGAAAGGCCTTTACTAACGATCATTCTACCCAATGTATGACCTCAACAGACCTCCCAGAGTGGGCTCCTTCAAAACCCCAACACCACGGCAGTTCCACCAGAACTCCACCTTGGCTATCTACCGGAGTGGCCCAAAACCCCCGACGTTCGTTCCGACTTGTGACTTGGTCGTGCGCAAAACATCGGGACTGAGGGGTGCAGGCTGAAACCTTGAAAGCATGCGTCCGTGGACATGTGCCTGGAAGTGTCCAGTGTCTAACGAGGGCTCCTTCGGGTGCCTGGTTTCATTGAACTAAACCAGCTTCGAAGAGAAAGACTAATGAACAACAACATATTCATCACCGCAACCCAAACCGTTGAATGACTTCAAGAGGAGTTCAAAGCCAGTTTCTCGCCCGTCAACCGAACCGAACCGAACTGTGGCTCTTTCCAGGTGGGTTCTGGCCGCTGAACTGAACCAAAGAGTGGTGTCCGGCATCGGAGTGCCCGGGATTGTCACCGGGGTTTTCACGTGGACACCGGTCCCCAGATAGATCTATTTAGAGTGTTAGCCGATTGTGTTGGTCAAGAAACGTGAGGGAAAAGGACAACACACATGCAGCATGCAAATAAGAAGATAGCGCCACTGCCCGCGTATTGATGCCTCTTCATGCCTCTATTCCCTGGATTGACCCAGTTTCTCTCCCAAAAAGCAGGCGTCCGGAACTGGGTCCGCCCGTTTCACCCACGAAGACTCGCTGGGTCCCCCAATGAAGTGGGCGCAGCCATGCTGTCCGAGGAGCGTCCTCCGCGGGTCTGAGGTGTTGGAGATCCTGCCTTCCCCTCTAGGATTCCTAGTAGGCCCGGGTAGGCCACAAAAATCTAAGTGGTTGGATAGGGATATGGTCAAGATATGTCAAGATGCCAGGGTTTTTGTGGGATCATGTGGGATCACTTGGCACCTTTGAGAGCCAGTTGGTTTGAGGGGTTAACCAAGCAAGGTGCCAGCATTGATACGACTGCCTGTTGTTCGGTCTCCTTTGCTATCCTTATGTTACCGTCTCCATGTTGCCATCTTTCATCTCCTGTTTCTGCTTTTTTTTTTGTTTGATTCCTACACCCCAAAAAGTTATTCCAGACAAT